AACATTGTAATATTCTTTTACAGGTAGTGTTACTTTGCTGAGATACTGTGTTTTAAAAATATTAGCAATATTAGTTTCCAGAATAGCAATAATGAAAATTCTTATCTTATGTTTCACTAAGTCCATTGATGTATTGGTGTATTTAATTTCATAAAGCCATTAGATTGTGTAACTTCTCTTTTTTTTTCTTTTTTCTTTTGAGACAGAATCTCACTCTGTCACCAGGGCTAGAATGCAGTGGCGTCATCATAGCTCACTGCAGCCTCAAACTCCTAGGCTCAAGGGATTCTCCTGCCTTAGCCTCCCAAGTAGCTGGGATTACGGACATACACCACTACACCCAGTTAACTTTTCTATTTTTTGTAGAGACAGCGGTCTTGTTCTTGCTCAGGCTGGTCTTAAACTCCTGGCCTCAAGCGATCCTCCCACCTCGGCTTCCCAAAGTGCTAGGAGTACAGACATGAGCCACTGCACCCAGCCTAGATTACGTATCTTCTAAACTCATCCACGATTACCTATCAAAATTTGTTAAAGACAACATACATGCCGATCTGGATGTAGACATTACAAAAGTAATCTTTGTCTTTCTAGCCACCTTTTTTTCCCTTTTGTATTAACTACTGGTGTTTCATATATGTACTGCACATTAGTACAGGTAATGCATTATTTGTGTTGTGAAAAAATGCTTTCTTTCTTCTTTGGTCCTTTAATTTATAGTAGGATTCATCAAAGCTAACAGACAAAGTATGTTGAATACGAAGCCATGAGTGTTCCTGCTGCTGCCTTCCTTTTAATGGGCATAGCATAGAATTCCTTGAGGTTTGAGGTCAGGTGGAAAGACTTTCACAAAGAAATTATTTAATAGCATCCACAGCTGGTAATTTTGTGGATTAGTGGTACAAGGACAATAGAGTCCTACCTCTACGGGCAGAAAAAAATGTATGAGCAAATTTGTTGATTTTAGGTGGGATATCAGGAATGGAAAAACTGATAATGACTGTTCTGGTCCTTTAGAACTGAATGTCTGCCAATCTGAAAGGTCAAATACCTTTTGCTAGGATTGACAAAATGGCCCATTGTTGATCTGTAATATCTATATAAAGCTATTAATAATTGTGACTTTAAAATGAGATTTTTAAAATACTGGTAATTTATTCTGCAAATGAATGTAAATGCTAATTTATGGCTTTCTTTTACTGTAATAATTCTTATGTGAGCTTTGAGATGCCTTTCCAAATCTCTTTTCTCTGTTTGACCAAAAATTTCTAGCTGGTCATAATTTTTAGCAAATAAAACGTTACTAACTTTTCTAATAACTGTATGTATCCATAAATAAAAAATGCCGTAAAGCTTATTCCTCAGGTTTGCCTTTTTATCATGCATCTGTGCAGTGATATTATAGTGAGAAAAGTGAACAGTTAACATGAATTTTTTTGAAAGTGATAGGATAACTTAACTGTGAACTCCAAAATCTTTGTACACAGCATAGCAGTCATTTTTTTGTTTTTATTTTCTGAAGGACTTAAAGCCCAGTAATATAGTAGTAAAATCAGACTGCACTTTGAAGATTCTTGACTTTGGTCTGGCCAGGACTGCAGGAACAAGCTTTATGATGACGCCTTACGTAGTGACTCGCTACTACAGAGCGCCTGAGGTCATCCTAGGCATGGGCTACAAGGAAAACGGTCAGCATACACTATTTGTTTGAAGTACTCTTCTGATTTAATTTCTTTTGTTCATCAGATTCTTTATGTAAATACTTAAGCTGAAGTGCATTGAGTTAAATATGTTTTACTATTTGAAATGTATATCAAGAGTTTGAAAGTAACTATAAATTTTGTCATAAATATTTGGAAAATCTTGAGGACCCTGTTTATTTAAGTACAAATACATAACATCAGTACTACCGTTGGATGAAGAATTCATTGCCATGACCTCTTAATCAGAATATATACCCTTTGCTTGCCTTTAACTTGGAAATGAGCATTTCTGACATGAATGCAGGAAAGTATATAGTGTACTGCCAGGTTATTCTTAGTAGTAATCTTAGCGTGCGTTAGTGATACTTGCCCATATTTCCAATTTCATGAAACTAAAGTTAACAGCAGTAGTACTTAGTGTAAACTTTAAGAGCTACAATGGGGTCTTCTGCAAAGCTCATGGATAATTAAGGGGACCTCTTGGAGAAAGCAATAATGTTTCATCAAAGCCTTGTGTCTAGCCTTAAGGACATGGCATATGGTATTATGTGTGGCTATATGCAGTTGTATTTATCAACCTTATAAGCAGGGTTGAAAAAAATTAGATCATGAATTTATATAATTTTTATGCATATATATATATATACACACTTATATTTAATTTGTAAGACATTTTGTTGAGTCTCAGAAATTTAGGAACTAAGTCTGCTGGGATTTTATGGAGTTCAACTGTAATTTTTTAAATGTGGTGACTTCATCCAAAATACTACCTAGAATAAGACCTAGACATTTTTCTGGCAAGGAATCTGGAACAGCAGTTCACTTTGAATCAGGAAATTGTATTAAGTCAACCTTTAAGATTTGTTTTATAAAAGAAACCATTGAATAGAAGATTTGAGCTTAATTAACTTTTCTGAGCTAATTAAAGACAAATACTTTAAACATATGCTATCAATCTTTTACTATTAAGTAAATATGCTGTTCTGTTTTCTTTTTCGCTAAAATTTGAAGGTTTTTTTTTTTTTTGGAGAATTGATACTGTAAGTGACCACCAGCATTTCTCTGCTGCGAAACCATCAATTGTCACAGATACTGTGTAATGTGTCAGTGATCTTGGGATAGCTCCCTACCAGAAGTTAGCACTAAGAAAAACTATTCAATAAAGCATAGAATTGACTTGCCTCTCTCTCTTAGATAAGAATTATGTAGATCACCGTATTGCCTTCCCAGTCCCACATCAGGAAACTGCATCAGATATAATGCTTAATGGTGATAATTACTTTAGCCAACAAGGTTAAGCATAAGTACTTCCTCCTTTTAGTGACACCCTCCACAATTTTGACAACTTTGTTTTATCTATCTTTTATCGCAAGCTGCCTCAAAACATTTTGGAAAATACAGTGTAATCAATATATATTTTCAACTACCTAGTAGACTAAGCAGTTAGACTGTTTAAAGCTAATTTCGTGTATGCACCAGGTTTAGCATGGTCTTGGTCTTCACTGACCCAGTTAATATGGGGTCAGCTCATGCTTGCAGCTCTCAAAATCTTTTTGTTTAAAAGTATGTTTATCTGAGGGTTACCAACATAAGTTGTATCCTAGATAATTTAACTAGATATTTAAAGTTTGCCATTCTCTATAAAATCTGTATGGAAGATTTATTCTAATAGATTTGTGTCAAAAATGAAAACCTTGGAAAAAATTTTTCTCGGATGGACTGATTATGAATATTAACTTTTGCTCTAAAATTTTATTTTATTTTGATACAGGGTCTTGCTCTGTCACCCAGGCTAGAGTGCAGTGGCATCATCATAGCTCACTGCAACCTCAAACGCCTGGGCTCAAGCGATGCTCCTGCCTCAGCCTCCCAAGTAGCTGGGGACAGATAATTTTTCTATTTTTTGTAAAGAACGGGAGTCTTGCTGTTGCTCAGGCTAGTTTTGAACTCCTGGCCTCAAGCAAACCTCCCACCTTTGCCTCTCAAAGTGCCAGGATTACAGGTGTGAGCCACTGCACTCTGCCTAAAATTTTACCCTTGAAAGTTGAATCATGCCATAAATATAAAAAGATTTATATTCATTTTAATATGAATTCTAGGGAAAATTTAGTTCTATAAGATTTCTAAAAGTAGTTACCAGTTTAACTTCTCAGACTCTTCAGTGAACTGGCAGTCTCCTTGTAAGAATGTCCTGTATTAGAAAGTACAGACTTTAATTTTCTAAGTCCTAGAAAAGGATAAAGGGTGTATCTAACATCTATTCCTGCCCTTTCCTCTTCTGATCTTAAAGAATTTGGGCCTTCTAACTTCAAAATCAGCTGCAAGTTTCTAAGCCTTTTCATTTTAAATGGCTCATTCTTCCCCTCTTTTTCTGTTGAGCTGCAAGCACTGCTCACACTCTCCCTCCCTCTCTCTCTCTCTCTTTTTGTCTTATAATGAAACCTAAGATATAAAATGTTAAGATGTGTTGTTAATTTTACGAAGCAGGTGGAGATCCCCAAATTGCTTGCCCCTGTGTCTAGTAGATTCTTTTTAGCATTGATGAGGGGGTCCCATTTAATGTTGGAATGCATCAGTAAGTCTGCTAGGAAACTCTTTGTAGATAATAAATCTGTGGGAACTTTCATGCTGTATCCAGCCAAAACTAACTTCTTAAACCAGAAGGAGTTTAGTTTTATGGGTTTAATAAACTTTAGGTAGGAAACATATGAAATACCCTTCTCTTACTAGGTTTTCTTGGTTAGTTGATGAGTTACTGGATTAGTAGTTATTCTCTATGCACTTGTTCCTTTTGGGACAGTAGGTTTAATGTAGCATGATGTTGCCAAGAAAATAACTGATTTTTAATTCAGAATAAACATAGCACTTCTCAAATAAATTTGTGATATCTAGTTTGAAAATTTCTGAAGAGCTTTAGATTAACTTCTATTGTAATTGTTCATAGAGACATTATTTCTGTTAAATATTTTAATATGCTGAATTATTTTCTCATGCTTTTTTCTTTTATTTAACTTAAAGAGAGAGTATAATGCACAGTTGAACCTCAAAATAATATAAAGATCTTATTTTTATAATTTAACTACCTCATGTACATTTTCAGCCTTATTTACAAAGTTCGTGTTTGGTTCTGTTTCATATTTTATAAACAAATTCTCAGGTACAAAATGGTGCAGGTTTTTTAATATACGCAATTTCTGTGCATAGCTCTCACTTTAAAATTAGATATGTAATTAAAATGCCACACTTTACATTTTCTTTTGTGAACCAAAGCTTTTCGAAAAATATTTTGTGTTTAAATTATTCCATTAGCTAAAATTACAATCACTTTTTTCTTTTTGTGATGTTTTGCAGTTTTTATATAATGCAGTCATATTATGCTTCTTTGATTTTAATGACCTTTTGCTTTGCTTTTCCTTCTTTTGTGCTGCAAACATATAGTGGATTTATGGTCTGTGGGGTGCATTATGGGAGAAATGGTTTGCCACAAAATCCTCTTTCCAGGAAGGGACTGTATCCTTGTGCTGCTGCAGCAGTTTAATTAGTTAGGTGATGAACTTCTTTATGTTCTTTAATGAAAATGAATATGCTACATTCATACATACGGGTTTTTTAAACAGGTGTAAAGTTTGTGGCTGTTATAGTTCAAAAATTGTTGAGATAGGAAGCTGGACTATTTGTAGGCTGCATCTGGCAGTAGGACATACAGTCTCTGCTGGTAGTCAGAGCACATTCACTGTCACTCATTTTTATTTTATACTGCTTTTTATAATTTTAAAGTATACATGGTGTGCGTGATTTTTTTTAATTTTTTTTTATTTTAACCAAAATCTTTATGTTAATGTCATTGCATTTTGTTTTCAGTTGACATTTGGTCAGTTGGGTGCATCATGGGAGAAATGATCAAAGGTGGTGTTTTGTTCCCAGGTACAGATCGTATCCTTATCTTTGGCCTAAAATGTAGTTTCTAAAGGTCAAAATGTATGACAGCACTTCAGCTTGGTGAGGTATAATATATATTGTCTCTCCCTAATATTAAGTGTTGTTAAATTACTCTTTCAAAATACCACCTGCTATTTGACATAGACTTTCCTTTCCCTCATTTATTGTTTCATATGTTAATTCTGCAAACTGCTCAGTTGTAATTATGTGCAATTCCTTGTTTGGCTTTGAGTTGATTTATTTAACCTAAATCAAACATCATGGCTTGTATTATTATAAACATTTCTAATAATTACACACTTGAATAAGTCTAGAAATACTTAGGATTTAATATGAATTTTGGAATTGTCTGTTGCTTCTGGCCATCCTTTTGTTTTGTCTCCCAACTTCTTTTTGTTAACGTTCTGTGTGGTTTGTGTCTTTTGATTGTTGTCTCATCACTCAACATCACATACTAATCCTTTCATCTGAGAATTTCAGCAGTGACAGTTTTATATGGTGATGATTAGATTTGGATTTACGCTTTTTGTTCATCTGACTACTTCTAATATTTGTATTAACAGTGATCTGTTTTGTGTTTATCAACTATTAACACTTAGAATTGTTTTAGGAGGAGGAATGGGAAAAGCCATATTCACTAGGTTGTAAGAGTTTTAGGCCTTGGCCTCCAGGAGGCTTGGAATATAAAGACTAGGAGAAAGAAGACCAGGGAATCCTAACCTTAAAATTTATAAAAAAAAAAAAAAAACTGGGGATGGGTGGGGGGCTGGATGATGAGAAATTACTTAATGGGTACAATGTACATTATTTGGATGATGGATACACTAAAAGCCCAGAGTTTACCACTACATAATATATCCATGTAACAAAATTGCACTGTACCCTTTAAATTTATACAAATAAAAGAAAAAAAGGAAAAGTGAAAATTTTTCCTAAGTTTCAGAGCTTAACAAATATTAGCATAAGCTAAACAAAAAATGGCAAAAGAAAAAGCCACTTTTATTGAAGCCATCATTTTTATTGCTACTGGTTATTTTCTGTTAGTGTAGAAAACTAAGGAAAGCAGGACAGATTATAGAAATATTTCTTATTCTCTAGGAAATTCATGTTTTCTGATAAGTTGGAAGAAAAGACAAATGTTATATATTAGAATTGTGTGTAGTTTGCATTTAGATTCCCTGTTGGTTAGTGATTATTATTCTTTGAGTCACTTACAATTTGTGTTTAGAGTTTGTGAGTTTATGCTTCATTTTATGGTAAAATCAGTATTAGTGCATATACACACTCAATAAATAAGGTTAACAACGCTTATTTATTGATCATGTCTGTCCACCTACAATCATTGCCTTTTATAAGGTGGCTGTGAGATATAAAATTTATAACTGCCACATTCTTTCTTAGGATTTTTAAAATTTTCACTTTATTGTAATGTGGATATAACTAATGTGTTGAACATTAGATATGCAGTATTTTTCTTAGCTACTTGATATTAGATATTGATCAGTGGAATAAAGTTATTGAACAGCTCGGAACACCATGTCCTGAATTCATGAAGAAACTGCAACCAACAGTAAGGACTTATGTTGAAAACAGACCTAAATATGCTGGATACAGCTTTGAGAAACTCTTCCCTGATGTACTTTTCCCAGCTGACTCGGAACACAACAAACTTAAAGGTATTTTTACAGATAAATATACATTTAATCCTGTTTGGGAGTGTGTGTTGTGTTTGTGTGTATGTATTCATATTCTTATGGAATATTGCACAAGGCTATCTCTGGATAGTGGAACAAAATGAGGTTTTAGTTATTTTTATCATAAATTTTGTATTTTTTAATCCCGTATGTGACCTAATTTTATAGTAAAAACTATTCTTTTTGTCTTTCATTTAAAAAACACAGATTTTAAACTCAAGTTCTGAAATTTACTGATAATTTGATATTTACAAATACATGTACATTAACATCATTATTTTTGCAGCCAGCCAGGCAAGGGATTTGTTATCCAAAATGCTGGTAATAGATGCATCTAAAAGGATCTCTGTAGATGAAGCTCTCCAGCACCCATATATCAATGTCTGGTATGATCCTTCTGAAGCAGAAGCTGTAAGTTTTCCTAATGTTTGAAGAACATTGCATTCTTAGAATTAGAATTAATATTAGGTTTGGAGGAGACCTTTTGATTTTAAATAAAAATATAGATACATGGTGATGGTGTTTTTCTATTTTTGCACGAAAAGTACCTTAATTAAGCTAATGAACACATCCAGGTACCTCCTACAGAAAGTAAAGTTAGTTCCCACTGTTTTTTGCCTTCTTGCCTGGATACTTGAACAGAGGAGCTAGGATGTTAAATACTTTAGGGGGAACATTCTAACTCAGAGAACAAATTATTGTATGTAAAGGACAGCATAATTCTGATATAAATAAAATGTGACAATTTCAAAAGCTGGAAGAGAAGGAAAAGACAGTTAAACATCTTATTCCTGCAGTGAAGGAGTCTTCTGAAACTAGTCTCTCTACATAAGAAGGTTGTTGGTGATTGATCAGTTTTGGTCTAATGATGCATTTTCACAAGTCTTCTGTCTGGCTAATATTTTGAATAATCTTAGAGAGTTAAAATACTACCAGTATACCACAATTAAGGGCCATGAATAAAAAATTAAAAAGAAAAATAAAATAAATACAATAATACCAGTTTGTTGACTCAATCACTGTTGCCTTGTGTTTTTCAGCCACCACCAAAGATACCTGATAAGCAATTAGATGAAAGGGAGCACACAATAGAAGAGTGGAAAGGTAATGTTCATTAGATTCTTAGAAAATTGAAAGAGCTTCTGGCTTTTTATGGAGATTTATTCATCATATTAGGGAAATTAATGATATTGTATTCACAACTAATATTTGGTAATATCATTAACCAATATTTTTACAAACGTGGAAAGTTCCTTCCCTCCTTGACTTAATTTCCCAAGTTCCCTACCTCATGCACAGGCATGTTAGTACTTTCTCTTGGTTTTCCGTGGTCTGTGGATATATAAACGTGTTTGGTGCCTCCCATCTCTCTTTGCCCATCCTTTTTAAATCACACATGGTTGTGTACCGTGTCTTCTGTGCACACTTGCTTTGTTGATACATATCTTGAAGATGATTCTCTGTTGGTCCACGTATCTGCCTCATTTGGTTTAATAGCTGGTTACTGTTCTGCTGTACAGAGGTATCACCATTTCTGTATCCAACTCCCTCCTAAAGAGCACTTAAGTCATGACCAGTCTGTTACTGTTACAAACAACTCTGCGTTGTTCATGTTCTCATGTGAAAGTACGCCTGTAAGAAAAATCCCAGAAGGAGATATGTTGGGCCAAAGGATATTTTTCAATTATTTCCAAATTACTCTCCAAAGAAATCGTCGTAGTGTACATACACTTCCATCAGTATCGTGCAGGAGTCTCTCTTTGCCCCTGCCCTTGCCAACAGAACAGGTTAATTGATAATCTTTGCAAATCTAATATAGTTTTATTCTGTTTTATGAATGTGGTTGAACATTGATAATGCTTTGATAGCCATGGAAATGTTAAAATATTTCTTTAAAAGATCCCCTGGACATTTGGGCCAGGTAACTTTTAGATCCTGTTTACCTCCATTTGCGTGGGTGTCACTGGGTGTTTTAACAACTTTTGTAGCTATGTGACTTTGAGTAACTCACTTGACCCCCATTTTTACCTCATCCTAAGTGGAAGCGGAGGACGCGTTAGTAAGAGCTGAGTATAGAAATACTGGGAAGGCGGAAAGGGCTGGGGAGGTGCAAACATGAACAGGTAATTCATCTGTAAATTTATTCTGATAAGAATGAAGTTGATTCTTTCTTCTTAGGAATAACCAGAGAGTAATTTTATCTGAGTTGACTTTGGGAAGACTCATGGTTAGTGGAGCCCAGCAGAATGAAATAATTGGGTAGAGCCTAGTGAATCCCAGTATGTAATAAATAATACATAAGGATGTAACTCTGGACCAGAGTATATATTAAAGTATTAACCTGATTTTTTTTAATTGACATTTAGTAGACATTTATAGTATTTATTAGAATCCCATTAGTTAATGGATACTTATGGCATTTCATAGAATCTTAGTAAGACACCAATTGTAAGACACACCATTACGCACCACTAAAGAAAACACTGCCAGTTGTACTGTACCATCATTGAAATAAAGTGTTTTCATTTGTATAATGTTTTTTGTGTGTTGAAATAGTGTTTTTGTATATTTTCCTTAGTTTTGGGGGTTTTTGATTATTTTAAAAATATTTGCCTTCGTTCTGTTTCTTTTTCTCCTAGTCCCAAGTACATTTCAGTAATTACTCAGAAACTGCCTTTTTTAAGATCTGCTTGAGAGTTTTAGTGTAACAGAAAGAAAAATCTATTGCCAAAGCCATTATCTAAAGATTCCTTTGCCTAATTAGTGCTCCTAATTAGTTTTGGTTCTTCTGCCATAATCTCTTTTCATAAAGGGATGCTGCTTTTTCTTTTTTTAAAAAAAATCCTCCTATCTGTAATGTTTATCATTCCTTTTTGTTTCTTTGAAGAAAAGCATCTCGTGCTCTCCCCTATCAAGGCTTTCTGTTTTTCTCTTTCCAAGCCTAAGGTTACCATAGCAAGCAAACTTACCTATATCTAGCTCTTGTTCTTTCCAACATATTCACTTATTTTACCTTATTAACAATTGTTGTCATACCCTATAATCAGGGATTCTTTATTGTAAGTTTAATCTTCAGGAATTATTCAGCTTCCTTGAAATTCCATGCAGCATTTTTTGTTTGTAGATTTTTCTCAGAAGAGTGTTTGTTGCTTTTATGCCATTCTCAAAAGATTCCATGACCCAAAGAAGATGATGAATAATGGTGATGTAGCGTCCACCAGAAGTTCTCGTTAAGACTCACAGTGCAGGCCGGGCGCAGTGGCTCACGCCTGTAATCCTAGCACTCTGGGAGGCCAAAGCGGGCGGATCGTTCATGTTCAGGAGTTCGAAACCAGCCTAAACAAGAGCGAGACCCCGTCTCTACTAAAAATGAAAGAAATTGACCAAACAACTAAAAATAGAAAAAGTTAGCCAGGCATGGAGGCGCGTGCCTGTAGTTCCAGCTACCTGGGAGGCTGAGGCAGGAGGATCGCTTGAGCCCGGGAGTTTGAGGTTGCTGTGAGCTAGGCTGACGCCACGGCACTCTAGCTGGGCAACAGAGTGAGACTCTGTCTC